GCAAGTTAAACACAATAACACACAGAAATTAACATAACACGCCACCGAGTCCAACAGGCAAGTTACCGGTAGCAAGTTCACCATCCATGAAATTCTTCGTCCTCCGTGTCGCTTCTGAACTGGTTGTCACAAGCCTAGAGCGCCTTCTCGCGGCTGTGGACGGTAATGTTTAGGCTACTCCTCGTTTCATGTCGGAATTATTATTCAAAAACATGTTAAATTTCATATATAAGTCGCAGGACCAGCCAAACTATGAAAAAAAGTGCGACTTATAGTCCGGAAAATACGGTAGCTTTTTGGAACCCATTGGCCATGATAGCCTGTTGGTCCCACCTTATGCCATGTAATATAGCACCAACAATGATAGAGATACACCAACCAGGTTTTACTTAGTTCAATTAAAATTGAACAAAGTGAATTGAAATTAACTGAAAAAACAAAACTGAAATAGTAATGAAAGTAAAGCAAAAGCTGAAAATATCACTGCATGAGGGTCAAAATTGCAGTCAGTATGCTGAAAGTGATTGAAGACGGTGTGCAGACAGCAGTACCTGGTCGATCTGGTCTCTTATCTTCCTCATCTCTGCATCCTTCACCTCCACACTCTCCTGCTGCATCTGGATCTGAGAGTCTAGGTTTGCTAATTCACTCTCCATACGAGAAATCTCCTAAAAACAATCAGATAAGACAGAGTAAATACTGTGAACTGTGGATTCGTCTCTGCTACAGTAACCATGACACAATATATCCCTGTATGTCTAATATGCTTTGAGATTCAACTGACTAGGGTCGGGGACTGAAATTCTTTTCCAAGTTAGAACCGAATACAAAATGCCAATAATCAGGTAGCCATAAAAAAAAATAGTTCTTTTTATTGGTTCCTGAATGAAACACAACGCAACAGTGTGCCATTTTCCTGTATGGTGATTAGCTGTGGGGCGGGAGCTAATAGAGAGGAGTGGAGGTGGGCAACTGGTTCAGAGCACTGAGGGAAGCGAGTGAGCAAAAGAAGAAACATGTAATGACAAGACATTTTACTGAGTAAATCAAAGGGACATGAGATTAATTTATGTGTGAATACAAATTTTTGTAGCATTCTTTTATTTATCACTTTAGTATTTGAGTGGTGGTTTTCGCCGTCTGTGTCTTTTTCGCGAATTACATTAATAAACTACTCTTATTGGCTTCTTGTTTACAGGGCGTGGTGAGTGTGCAGCTCTCCATCGCTGTTGAGCAGGAGTTCAGCCTCGCCTGCAGCAGTGTTTCACCACAAGCGGGGCTGAGCTTAGCACAGTGCAGAAGAGACAGACAGTGGAGAGAGTTGACAATTATTATGTTATAAATATAACCTGGCATATTTCTGGTATAAACATTACCACAGTGAAGTCACAAAAATAAGGGCGGCACAGAAAGCACCGTACAGAAAATGTAATATAACATAATAAACATATAAACATTCCTTTTTTCATCCATATTGAAATCTAAATATTGGAATGTATGTACTCTGATTTAGATGTACACATACAATATAGCCATGTCAAAGAAGTCTAAATTATGATATTCATTTTGAGAAAGTCATAGCTCTGTGGCCCTACCGCTTGGCATTTAAGGATGTTTTTCTTGCGAAGGTTTTCCAGCTCAGTTTTGGAGTATTTGAGGCGGGTCTTTGCACCCTGACCCTGAGCAATGATCTGACTCAGGTCAGCCTCCTTCCGCTTCAGCCTCATCAAATCCTGTCACATGACCAAAACACAGAGTGAAAGTTCATTGAGAATAAATTGTTTAACCCTAGATAGTCATTTTAGTATGTATATGACGAGACATAATGTATGTCAAAATAACAATTAAAGCACAGTTTGTGTAAACAGGGCAAGAAATTCACGAATAGAATAAAAAAATAAAACCCTTTGCTTTGGTCAAGGTTTGGTTTTACAGCTATGACGTTTACATTGTAAGACATGTTGTGTGTTCACTCACGCGCAACTCTGCTGTCAGCTGGTCCTTGCGTTCCTTAAGCCGCTTCATGTCCTTCTCGTCCCAGCAACGAGCTTTGGTCCGCAAGTCACTGGAGCCTCCAGAGATCACGCCTGACTTTGAAAACAGCGTCCCGTCCAGAGATACTGTCTGTAGAAAACACATCTCATTACAGGTCTGCTGGCAGTAAAAGCCAACATGTCAGTAAGTTCACAACTGTAGGTGGTAATACTAGATGGGCCTGTTTCTGTGTACTATGTAGATTTATAGTGTTCCTTCTTTCAGGTGACATTCTTAGTTACAGTTTGGATTTTTACCTCAAACATTCAAACTGATTTCAGTCAGTGACTTACTTTGCCTGAATGAGAAAAACGTTTGAGGAAGATGTATGACACATTCTCCTAGCAATCAAATTTCTCATTTCAATTTACTGTCATGTATAACTAATAAGGCAGGCTCTGTAAGATGGCAAGACAAACATAGAATGACTGAACAAAAAAAAAACAAAAACATACAACTGATCTTGGCTCCAATGGCCGAGGGCCAGGTTTACCTTAATGCGCGGCTGCCTGTCGAAGGCCATACTCCTTGCTTCTTTGAGGGTCTCACACACCAAGGCATTGCCACAGACAAACTGCACCACTTTCCTCAGCTGAGCAGCACCTGGGCCGCTGTTAACTTGAACAACATCTACCACCATCTTGGCAGCGGGCAACTCCCTCAGTCGCTCATTCAGAGGACTCACCTGGGCACACAGCGATAATGGTTATCACTGACACAATCTCACCTGCTTTTTCATTCTGCATTTCAACCATGGCTTCCTTTTAGTTTCATCTCACATCCAAGTAGTTGATGGGCAGGAAGGTCTCGCGGTCGGCTCGTTCCTCCTTGATGAAACAGATACAGTCGCGGGCCACCTTCTCCGTGGCTACTACAATGGCGTTCATGTAGGGACCAAACACCTTGATAACAGCCAGCTGGTACTTCTTATGGATGGGGCTGCAGAGGTCAACCAGACGACCATACTGGGACAGGAAAGATAAAGCAATTAAAAGAAAACGCCCCCAAGCTTTTGCCTTGTAAAAAGTGACAAAAAATTATATTTCTTGCTGAAGATGAAGCCAGACATTATGAGCAGCACATAAATATCCCTCAATAAAGCCAAAATATATCAGAGAAGAGTTATCTTAGTTCAGTTTGTAGACTGACGGCCGCCAAGTGACATTTAGATAGCCTGGTTGGCTGTAATGTGTTTTGTTTTGCCAAGAAAATGGTCTCTTGCCTCCTGCACTTGGGTCTTTAATGCATTCTTGCAGTTATCCCTTATTATTATGCCTCTCTGTCTCTTACCACAGTTTCAGGGTAGAGTCTGCAGAGCTTCTCTAGCATTTCTTTGCGCTGCAGCTGGCTTCTGCTCTCCTGGCTGTCCAGACGGGCGTTCCCCAGCTCCTCTAGCACCTGGCCCAGCTCCTGGTTCACCTCCTGGCTGCGCTGGCGGCCCTGCTGCAGCTCTGCACTCAAGCTCTCCTCCCGCTGACAGCATTCTTCAAGGGTTGAGCTGACACATACATTAACTTCTCAGTTTCCTTTTGTTATGTTACATCCTGATTTCAAAGTATACACTATGTCACTGATAATAACAATGGAGTTCAATCAACATTTCCCTGACAGTCAGGGACAGACAGGTGTTTTACTGGCTGGCATTACATTGTGAAGTCAGGTGGAAGGTGCGCACATGACATACTTGCATTTGTTGGTGTACTCCTCTAGCTTCTCTGCTCTGCTTATCAAATCTTCCAGCTGAGACCGACTGTTCCTGACGGCAGCCTACAACAGATGATGATTCAGGAGCACTAACTGTATGTAATATCTGATATTTTTACAATCAAAATATGTCAAATGATAATGTAGCGGCTGTTCAATATATGGTCATTCACTGAAAAGATGTGTAGTGGAAGCAAAAAATGTGCCACTGACAGTACCTCCACTTCCATCTTTCTGCGCTGGTCGAAAGAAATCTTCTCATAGTCGGTTCTCACCCCCCACTGCAGTTTCTCTGCCTGCTGGCTAAGGACGGCGCCCTGTTTTCGGGCCAGCTCCTTCAGCTCTTTGTATCGCTCTAGCTGAAGCAGAAATAGATGCAAAAACATGCTGACCGTGCTTTTTGTCCCTTGTGATTTAGACGTATCTGCAGTTAGGTAATATGGTTGTTAATAATAATTAACCAAAATTAGCATAAACATTGACTTTTACTGTTGTGTACAATGATGTGTACAATATTACCTCAGCTAAGTACCTATTCACTTGCAAGCATAGAAGGATTAAATTCAACCTATTAAGTTAATATTCAGAGTTTGTATTCAAGATATAACATACTACATTGGATTGGGTTCAGACTGGATAATCTGAACTGAAGTGTGGCCTAAACAAAGGGACCGATCAGAGGAGCTCTGCCAAGGAGCTTTCCAAAATACCTTGCCTTTCGATGAAATGTGTTTATGACAGTGTTTACACAGCTTTTCACTCACAGTGTGATTTAATGTTTCACCTGCCAATGTATAACTGACTCCTGCTTTTTGAAAAGAAAAATAGTACATAAATTGATGTACTACAGTGCATGTGTGTCACATATTGTAGACCCTGACATACAGTCCACTGGATTCATTATTATGTTTAGAATATGTGCTGCACAAAACAAATACATCATAGCCCTGTGCCTCCAAACTCCCAGCAGCTATATTTTACATCGTGGTAACTGACATTTGGTTTGTCTGAACAGGAAAGAGGGTGGCACTGTTTGACACACGCTCACCTGATCCTCATCCAGTTGGATGTCTCTCCCACGGGAGGCACCCTTCTCCTGTACCTGCTTTTCAAAGCTTCTCCAGGTTCTCTCTAGCTCAGCGATCTCTCGCTGTCCCTCTGCCAGCTCCTGCTGTTTAATAGCCATCAGCTTCTGATTCTTCTTCAGAGCATTACGGGCCTCCTCAGCCTTCTTCATGTGATGGGAGGTGTTTACCTTGGCTTTGATGTACTGGGTCTGACACTGGGACTGCATATGTTCCTGGGCACTGATTGACAGAGCGAAAGGAGTTAAACAGATGCTATTATCTGAGGCTTTGCTTTTAAACACCGTACAAGGAGAAACTAAAGGGCTAGTGAGGGACACATTAAATACAGTTTTACTGCTCCATTAGCTACTGTATTATATGATATATCTGATATTCTGATGTGAAAAGCAAATATGTGCTTCACTTTACATAAAAACTGCCCCTAAAAACTAAACACACACACACACACCGGATCTCCTTCTCTATTTGCTGCTTCTCTCTGGTGAGGCGTCCATGTTCCTTCTTGTTGGTTTTGACCGTCTGCTCCCCTTTCACTAGTTTATGGTTCTGGACAGTTGCTGCCTGTTGTTTCTCCCTCAGGGTGTCTCTGAGGGTGCTGATGCTCTTTTCATTATAGTAGAGCTCAGCCAGGCTCAGCTTCAGCCGCTTTTGGTGAAGGTCATCCACCAGCACCTGGTACCTCTGGGCCTGGACAAAGGGGAGGTGGGAGGGGACCCGTCAATCAATGGACAGGAAAGCTTAAGCAAAACGAAGGCAACTAAACTACAGTCCAGTTGATGCTAAACAGACTATGTTGCCTATGATTGCTGTAAGCACACACACATCAGTCATTTAGGACAACATGAACTTACACCCTAGTATAAATGCAAATGCTTAAAGCTCCATTAAGGGCAGCAAATTGTAAGTAAGCAAAAGAGCAAAGTTTCTAAAAATGATGATGATGATGTGGATTTCCAGTGTAGCTGTCACAGCATGCAGTAAGCTATGGTTTCACCGGCTCTTTTTGAATGACTTTACCTCTACTTTTTCCTGAGACACCTGTTTCCTCTCGACAATAGCAGATTTCTTCTTGTTGAAGTGAAACTGTGTGTCCTCTTTGGCATTCAGCAGGGCCTTTTTCTTCACGTCATACTCTACAGCATACTCTTTCGACTGACAAATGCACTCCAACATCTTGGTCCTCTCTTTCGGGTCGTTCAAAGCTATGGACTCCACTGCCCCCTGGTGACGACCGTAATGAGTGACAGAGCTGTTTGGGTTTTTTTTTTATTACGTACTGAGCAATTTACAAACGTCTTCACAGCATGAAAATTCTCAGAAGAAAAACATAAATGTGTACATGTGATCTTAGTATCTAACACACATCTCCACAAATATTCTAAACTACAGTATATTATCATGTGTATCTACATTATTTTTATGACAGTGTTTACCTGGTACACCAGACAGTTTCGAGCTTTGGTCACAATGCCAATCTTCTCCAGCTCCTCCATGTATTTGGCCAGAGTAACATGTATACCATTGATGCGATACTCAGAGTTGTCACCTATAAAACACAATGAATGTGTGATGTGACAGCAGCAACTTGTTTCTAACTTGTGCACTTGTTTCTACTTGATACTACTAGGGGAAAATATGTTTCTCTTCCTTTTTAAACTGTGTCAGATATTAGAATAAAAAAAAAGCTATTTAACTGATTCGTACACCGTTTAAGTTGCATACGTTTTTATATTTTTTCCAGTCCTCCTTTATTAGACTACTGCAAACACACAAGAGTACAAGCACCTGTGTCATTGCTTAATCATTATGATTATAGTACTATGAGTAACAGTTATGAAGTCATCAGCAGCCTGTCGCACCAGCTGTGTGCAAGTTCAAACTTAGCCTAGTTAAACGTAAATGATTACCAAGTTGTGATGTTATGCTTCAAATAACATTGATGTACCTAAACACATCTCACCAATGCGTTGCATCCCAGATAAGTTACAACTTAACGTTAAGTAACTTAACAACTAAGTTAAATAGTTACACATGCCCGTAAAGTAGTGCAAATCATAAAATGTCACAGAATTAAACTCACTGATGGTAAAACAACAGGTTTTTTTTGCCACACATTATTTTTTATTAACTGCAGCCATTTTGCGACACATTAATCGAGTAGAGATCCAATTTATTAATATGATATTTCATTATCTATCTATCCAAGTGGCTCATGCCATCCAGAAAGCTAATGCGCACGGTAACCATGGTGATGAAACAATATCTTTGATCGCTGATTGGCCACTTTCCTTAGTTATGACTTCATGTCCATACAGTAATGCTCAGGGTGCAACCAATTTTAGTAACGTTAACTGATTTACTAACAAACTAGTACTTAGCCTCTAGAGTCGACTTTACACCATAGCTAGTGCAACCCAGTCAAGGGCTATAATAACTCCTTAAACTAACCCAAAATGCTCCGGCAGAAGACGGTCTCCTGGTCGTCGTCGTCGCAGTACCGCATGGAGACGCGGGCGGTGTCCGGCACCGGCTGCCCGATGTGAGCTCCGTGTATCAGGTCCCGGAGGCGCTTCACCCGGAGACTGGCGACCCGCTCCCCAACGGCGAAGCTCACGGCATCCATTAAATTGGACTTGCCTGGTGTGATTTTACATCTTCAGCATATATATATATATATATATATATATATATATATAACAACTCTCTGATTAAAGACATTGCCTTTAACATTTAGCTAAGTATTGTAACATCAACATTGACGTTAATTATTAACCCATTCCCCAAGATATAATATTTGAAATAATAATAATATTGTTTTGTGGTTTCAATTAACTCAAACATCCAGTAATATAACTTATATAACGTTATAGTTCGTCTTAAAAAGAGGGATACGCAGAAATGTATTGAAGTTAGCTAACATTTGTCGGACAATGCTGAAGTTAGTTAAATATTAATTCAGCTACACTAGCTCATAGTTAGCTTTACGCAGCTAACATTAGCTCCCTAGACAGATTGGAAAGTTTACTTACCGGAGCCATTTGTGCCAATTACACAATTAAATCGCAGGAACGGGCCGATGACCTGTTTCCCTCGCCATGACTTAAAGTTTTCAATGTCAATCTGTTTCAGATACCCCATTTTAATCTGCTATGGTGAGTCAAGAAACTTGATGCTTCAGTTCTGCTAACTTCAGCGGACAGGATGTTGAGAGGCGGGAAGCGCCGCAACCTTTTTTTTTGTTTCTTCTGTTGAAGCACAAAATACATTTCACTTTAGTCTAGATGCCAAATTTGAGGTGTTTTACTTTTTCATTAAAGCATTAAACTCGGTACACATGTACAGTTTGGGCCGCTGAATATGGGATATTATTGGTTTTTTATTAAAGTCCAATAAAAACTTCCATCCCAGAACATTTTCAGAAATGGACCCACCAAAATGTGTATTTAGCAGCAAATCTCCTAAACCAAGCCCAAAATAGAAAATGCAGCGAGTAACTACTGATTTAATATCTGAAATAAAATATCTCAAACTTTCACATGGAATATTTAAATTAATAAAAAAATATTGTATGTTTTAACACAATTTAATGGAGTAATAATTTAGAAATAAAAAACAGTTACAACCCAAGTCAAGTTTATTTTATAGTTTTATCTACTTGAGACTTTACTTGATACAAGCAGAGAAATACTGTGTTAAAGTCATATGTCGAATATGACTCAGGTGCCCATGTTCCCTGCCACAACCCCTTACACACAGGTTGATCTTATGTAAAACAATTGAACCCAGAAGGACAAAAGGAGAGCTGCAACACAGACAAACTAGGTATTGAAGAATTTATTGATCAATACTGATAAGTCAAATGTCACATATCAGCACAGACTGATGAGAAAGTAGTTCTGCATATTAAAAGTAGAGCGAACTGCTTTCAAAGTTTATCCTCCTTCCACGGTTACAGCCATCAATAAGGGTGGTCACGGACGTACTCCATGATGTGTTTCAGAGCCAGCCAGGTCTCGGAGGCGGTGGGGATGATCTGATTGGCTGGCAGGATGAAACCATAGCGACCAGTGTCCCTCAGCTCAAAGGCATAGGAGTACTTGATGCCCACGTTGTAAGACCAGTCAATGCTGCCGCCACTGGCTTGATCTGAGTGGAGAGGAAGGTGAGCACACCATAGAAGTAGCAGCTCTACATACCAGGGCTTTTTGAGACGGGTTACAACATTTAACACATCGAATGAAAAAAAAAAGTTTCATAATGACTCCTTGAACTGGAGTAATGATCAAAATATATAGCGAGTGGGACATTTTACAGTTGGAAAATAAACTTGTCTTTGGCACATCTGACCTCTGATTTCTTGTTACTTATTGTTCCACATATATGCAGGTACCAATATACCATATCTACAATAATAAGGCAGCACTGTAAAGCACAGCTCCATTTCATGTACAAAAAGCGCTATATAAATAAAAGGTATTATTATTATTGTCTGATATAGCAGTATGTGAGTTGTGTTATTTTAGAGGAATTGCAACTCCTTTTTTAAGGTTGTTTATTTATTGTGCCCACTACATTCACTTTATTTTGGTCTTCATAGTCGTATCAGTTACTTTTATCATAATTACAACTACAACATTCATACAGTTTGTCATGTGTCTAACTTTGGGGTGACAAAAAGAAAAAAAGATACTCACAGATGATGTTGCAGATGCTTCCAACCTTGTATCTGGTACCATAGAGGGAAGTGAGTTTCTGCACTGCTGCTCTGCCAACAGAGTCCTATAGGAAACACAAATATTGTTAGTACAGTGCACATATAATACTGGTGCACAGGGGGGAATGCAGAAGAAGAAGCATACAGAGAAGTGCTTTTAAAGGTTTCCACTCGAAAAGTGCACAGATGAAATGGAAATAAATATGGAGAGGGTTGGTGAATAATACTGCAACTTTCAAGGACCTACACTTCCTCTTGCAGAGTTACCAGTCAAGCCAAGTTTATTTATATAGCCCAAAAGCACAAAAGCTTAGAAGGCTTTGTTACAAATGAGTAACTACAGGACTGTTGTCCATTAGGCAGTTTCTCAGTGTTAATATGAATAATTGTATAAACTTGAGGCAATATTTCTGAAGAGGATTCCTGGTTAAGTAAAGGGAGATCATTTGTCATATGCGTTAGTGATACGTTTTTAATTGGTTAATTCTTAAATCCTGGACCAAATGTTTTGAATTTTCAGCCATGAAACTTTAATTTGATAATAAATTACAATCCCAAGTTTTCCAGCTAAGGTTGTTAAAGTAGTCTGCAATCAAAAGGCAAGATATTGCTTTTTTAATCATTAATGTTTTTGGAGAAGGCATTTCAAATCAGGTTATAATAGTTAAATCATTCGTCTTCCTGAGAATTTCAGACATTTATCAAGAGAAAATGTAGCTGCTCTCATTTGACTCTCGTGTGTGAGAACTATTTTGCAATCAGAGTTTCATGAAACAGTGGAAAAAGGTGTCAGATTAAATTTGCCATGTGCTTCCTCACAATTGACCAATTTGTTGACTTCCTTACCAGCTCAGGCTGATGGAACACGTTCTTGCAGGAATAGCCATAAGGGTACATGAGCAGCTGGGAGTAGGCGTGGACAGAGATGAAGGACTTGAAGTTGCCGTGGCTCTTGATCAGGTTCACTACGTTCTTCACCTCAATCTCAGAGTGAGCAGAGGGGCCGTGGTAGGAATCAGAGCAGGGGTTTCTACTGGCACCGGGGCCTGGAGAGATACATTTGAATAAAAACATGTGTACATACAGTACAGTGCAAGAGCGCTCATATACATGATCGCATATGCATACACACAAACAAGGGAGCATGTAACAACAGGCAAAGACCCAAAAACTGTGTAAAACTAAGGCGTTCATGTTACCCTCAAATAAATTACTATTGATTATTGTGACAATTATATATCCGTATCTGCAAAATACAAATGTTTTCAGACAAAAAAATGTCTCCCCGTTTGATATCTATAGAGCAAAAACAAAGTTCATGGGAAGCATTTATGTCTCTTCTATACTGACCACCAAAGCCTGCATCCCAGTTCCTGTTGGGATCGACTCCACGGCACACTGAGCCTGGGTTCTTGGAGCGGGTCTTACGCCACATACGGTCCTGTACATCACACAGTTTTAGTCAGTCAAGCACTTGACTGCAACATCATTTTCTTCCTTCTTCTTACCCACAATATGGTTCAGATACCTGGTCTTTAACAGCGCTTTACACCTGCTCATGTCATGTTTTCCTCTTAAATATCCACCTTACATGGATCAAAGTAATGTGTTTTGGTACACACAACACAGAAATACAATTTACAACTTTAGTAAAGCAGTAAATAAGAGCAAAGATATAGTAGGTTTTCCTACTATATCTTCCAATATGTTTTCATTGAATAGCAACATACATTAGAGTGGGTGTAAGCGTAGCCGTCAGGGTTGGCCAGGATCAGCATGTAAATATCCATGGTGTTCAGAAGAGAGGTCAGGGAGGCGTCGGTACCATAATCAGTTGCAATCTAAGCAAGAACACAAGGCATTGATTTAGTATAAATTACACTCTTAAAAAAAGGAAGCAATCTTTCATATCTATAAATATTTGACAGTGGGTCCAGAGTTAACAATGTCTGCAACAATAGAGGACAGAGAGACTTAATTGTTATTTTTATGTATATTATTAAGATTATTTATAAGAAAGGAAGGTTGTGAGGCTAAATGCATGTAGGCAATCAATGTAACACAAGAACAATTAAACACAAGAACAAATAAACACAAACAATACAAAAAGGTATGTATTGATTTCTTGTTAACTTACATATCAAGTACATTTATTATTAGGGCTGCAACTAAAGATTATTTTCATAATTTATTAGTCTGCTGGTTAATCATTGTGATTGTAGAAAATGTCAAAAAGCCAAATACGGCATCTTTAGATTCCTTGTTTTGTCTGACTAACAGTCCCAAACTCATAGATGATCAATTTACACTGAAATGTGACAAAGGAAAATAAATCCTCACATTTGAGAATCTGGAACTAGAAAAAGTTTGGCATTAACTGATTAATCAGTTGTCAAAAAAATACATCTTCTGTTAATCGACTAATCATTTCAGCTCTATTTATCATACTGAGACTTTCCAATTAACCTTTGTGAGCTTTTCTTCTGACCTCTGGAGCAGATGTAACACATTTAAATCAAGTCAATCAGATGACTCAATCTCCCAGGTATGTTGTACCTTGTTGGCTGTCCACACTCCGGTAGCCTGAGACACCCATTCTCTGGAGTGGATACCTGTGTCGATCCAGATAGCAGGACGGTTTGCTCCCCCAGTGCTGAACTAAACACAGTGTGAATAACAAAACTCATGCTGTTATAAAATAGAGTTTAGGTGTGATACAGTCAAACATTGCAGACAAAAGGGATATATCTATCCTTTAAAGGTACCTTCCAATGGGAAATTTTCAGTTGTTAATGTAAAAAAATACACATTTATGAACCTCTACTGTACATTTAGATTTCAAATCCAGACTGAAAACAACTTTTTTCCTAATTTCAATGTCTGGAAATTACTAACTGTTGTTCTTCTGTGTCACATAGCTACCCCATCAGGTCATGTGATTTTTAAAAATTACTAAACCATGTAATCATTTTTAACATTATTATCTGTGTATGTATGTACGTGTGTGAGTTTGTGGGTAAGTGGGTTAATTTTTAAATTAATTTTGTTTTTTTCTGTTATTGTTTGCAGGGTGATGTTCAACTGAAGTTAAAGTTAAACATTTCTTACAGAAACACAGTTGTGCACATACAGTACACGCAGGTACAAACATGTTGTTGTCTTGCATGAGGTATGTCCTACCTTGAGCACATACATGGGCCTATTCTCATATGATCTCCCAATTTCCTGCTTGGTGACCAGTTTAGGGTGCTGAGCCACCAGAGTGTCCATCCAGCTGTAGATCTGTATGGGAGACAAGTCATGCATTATAATATAGTGAAGTGTGGCATGTCTAATACTGAACAGAAATACTTAAGTTCCACTTTGTTGATTAATAAACAAGTAATTAACTAGTTCAAGAAGGTCCTGTATTTACAGAAGGTCTTTGGTTTATTTCTGTGTCACAATGTATCCAGTTACCTTGATGATCTGACTCAAGCTCAGCACAAAACAAA